TATCAAAACATAGATTCAAGATGTAGGATGAGACAAACTTAAAGGAACTCAATTCAAAGGAGGAGTTTGAGCTCATGTTTTAGTAGATGGGTTTATATGAAATGTGAAGACACATAAAAAAAAATTATTGCGAGACTTGCATTATAGGTATAGTCAAGCATGTTTAACTTAAAAACTGATGATTTGATGAAATTTAAGTCAAGATGAAAATTGTTGAGAATAATGACTCAAACACCATAATAGATTTATTTGAGATTGTTAGATATTATTAAATGGATAAAAAGACTTATAGAAGAAGAATTTTAAAATGAAAAATATTCTTAATAGACAAGTTTATATGTTTATAAATATATGGAATCTACATAATGTTAGATATAAGAAAAAGATATAAAAGAGTTATAAGATTTTATTGGGTAAACACTCCATATGATTAAGGTGATTAACATCTTCTTGGGTATTTATATTTGAGTGGACTAGAGGAGAATGAGATTGTCCATATAGATATGATGCATAAGTGCATATGGCTATATTTTTTAGGTTGAAAATACTCTATAAGATTAGACGAGAATGAGAGAGTTTAGGTGTATTAATTATGAGTGGTTGATTTGATTGTTTGTTTATAATTCTCTATAATTAGTAGATATTTTCTCTCATCTATGAATTTAAGTCGGTTTGACCAAATCACATTAAATTGTTATGTCTTGTGTGATTGATTTGATCATTTGTTTTTACTTATGCTAACTTGAATGTTTAATTAGATTAGAACTTTTTGTCTAACAGAAAGATTAACATAAAAAAAAAAAATGGAAAAAGGGATTTGTCCACTCTAAGGTCAGGAAGACAGTTATCAATGCTACAATGAGATATGGATTCTAAAGTTCTATAACTCTCGTCACACAAGAAAAAGAACACTTCTTTTCTAATTGGAATTGATCATAATTGTCTCTCCTTTATTGATTTGTATGGTTGTATTCAATCAATGGATTCTTATCTCCCCAAGAAACTTGCACACCAGATCTTTTTCTCTCTAACAGATATCAGTTTCATTTTTTGGAGGCATTTGGGATCCTTGCGGTTGATTTGGAGCTGCAGTTTTCAAAAGGGTGTCATTCATGTACTATGTTCTTTTTCTCTTGTTTTTGAATTAGAAGCCAATTTCTGGGAAAGAGGTCATACCATTAGTTTTCTCCATCCCTGGGATTCGACATTGTGAGCATCTATTACTCGTCAAACCTTTTATGTTGCATTGATGTTAAGAAAAAGAATCTCTATTTTTCAAAGAAAAAAAAAGGTCAGCAAAAAAAAAAATGATCAAGGCTGATATTGAAGATTAATTGCTGGAAGGAAAAAGGATTACAAATCATGACCATCCATACTTAAATCTGAAAAACATAAAGCACGGTAGTGACTTAGTTCCTAGAATTCCATGTACCAGGAAAAGATAGTTGATACCCTACTTAGCTGGACAAAGATAACCTTTTCACATAGGGTTGAGACTAAGTGCATCCTCACTATCCTAGATTTTAAGCTTTCCATAACTTAGATAAAATGCTACCATCCTCTCTCACAAATTCCAGACTTGAACCCTTTCCCTTATATCCAGATGGCGACATCTTTTGTAAAACTAAAAAAAAAAAAAACCTAGTCTCCCTCCTATGCAACTTGGATGCTGTTAAGACAAAGGTATCCTAGTGATTTTAGCTTAGTTGCATCACTTTGCAGTTGGCCTCTGATTGTGGACAGTTTTCTTCTTTCTGAAACACAACTAATGGCGAAGTGAAGGTAGCAAAAACAGATAAAAGAAATTCAATGAGCTAAAAAAGCAGTGTGATTAGAGAGCTTAAAGCAAAGCAAGAAGCTTATGGGCATATGACCTTACAAAGAAAGATGCTTTTTCCCGTTTATATTCTCTTTCTTTATTCCAATCTTTAATTAAAATTTTTTTTCCCACTGGCATGTTCAACTGAGAATTTGGTGTCACCTAATTTAATTCAACCTGGGCATTTCTTAGTTGCTTATCATATGTAGTACGGTGAGCTAGTGAAGTCTTCAATGTGCTTTATTCGCTGACTTGCCAAGAGGAGAATAACCAAAAAAAAAGAAAAAGAATTATATTAATGAAATTATTATTAATTATAAATCATATTTAAAATATACAATATTATTATACATTTACTCTTATTGTCATATTAATCAATCAATACTCCTTTATCCATATCTTAATTTTGGTTAAGATATCTAAAAGATTTTAGATTAATTTAAAATAAACATAAAAAATTAATTGAGAATAAAACAATGGATAATCTAAACTGTGAAGTCCTTTTCCATATTCTTGCCATCAATGGGTATGGTGCAAGTGGTTGTATTTTTGTTCCCTTTTGGTAGGAGACCAAAAGAAGGTATATGTCTCACATAATTTTTCTACCAAACAATTTATAAAAAAAAAAAAAATTACAGTCTAATGATAAAAGATAAAATTATTATTATTGGGATTCGAATTTGAAATTGATTGAATATCATTGTTTTAAAAATGATTATATAAAATAATTAAATTAAATTTTAAAATTTAAAAATAGTAAGTTCTTAATAAAAAAAATTAAACATAATTTTTTTTGTTTATTTTGGTTTGAAATAGTGAAAATTTATATTTCATAAAAAAGAACATTTTAAGCCTTTTAAATTTTAATTATCTTTTTTTTTTTTTGACAAAAGAAGAAAAGCAAACAAAAAAAAAAAAGAAACAAAAACAATTGGATTTGAACTTTGAGCCTAGATGGTCCTGTAAGGTTGGAAGCGAGGGGCAACTAGTGTGTTTTTGGGCCGAGCGAGTAGGGTTCTAAGTTTTTAGCTTGGGCAACAGGGTCAAGACTAGGGTGAAAATCGTCGAGGTTTGGGTATAGATTGAAGCTTCAAGCTTTAATATCTCATTTATGCAAAATTTCTCTCATGAAATCGTATGCTTCGCTTCGTTATTAGAAGTCTAAAACAAAAAAAATAATAAACATCGGGTGAATGAAATAATTTTTCGTATTATATATAAAGAACGTTAGAGTTGAAGTTGAATTTGTTAATATCCGTTTATTCTCTTCTGTATAAGTTGCTAAAGTTTAAAACACTATGGCTGATTGAATTGGTTAATTAATGGTCTGATGCAATTTCTATTTCTATTTTTAGAAGAATTTATGCAATAAGAATTTTTTTTTTTTTTACTTTTAAGTTGAAGTAGTAGTATTGTTGTGATATATCAATAGTATATAACATACTAATTTTGTAAAGAATTAAAAAGAAAAATGATAGGGTGTTCTCGTAGCATCTTATCCTTCCTCCATTCTTAATTTTTTTTTTTACTTTATTTTATATTAAATTTATTATTTAAATTTTTATTAGATAAATTTTATAAAAAATATTAATGAAAATAAAGATGATAAAATAACCTATAACTGATTGATTTTGATTCGTTCCGATTGAATATAAGTGTCTTTTTTTCAAAAATCAAGATTAAATAAAAAATTTTCTTTTTTTCTTTTGAAAATAGAATTGGATTGAAGATGGATTTAAAGTATTCTTTGTCTTAGGTATCCACATATCATCTCCTTCCTTTCTTTTTTTTTCATTTTCATTTTTTAAAATTTTTGCTTTTTTAGGTTTCTTTTATCTTTTATTAGATATATTTTATTAAAAAAATCAATTAAAATAAAAATGACAAAATAATACATATCCGAAAGGTTTCAATATGATCCAATTCAATTGATTCGTTTTTATTATTTCAAAATAATTTGGTGGAGTTTAAATTAAGCTCGAGCTAAAGTAAAATTTTGGATATTACTTCTCAACCTTAATATATATATGAAAATTATATTTTTTATTAGTTACTAAACTTTATATTTATATATTTTTATTAAAAATTATTTAATATCTTAATTTAATAAATTTATATACCACCCTTTTGGTTTTTTTATTGTTTTCTTTGTTTTTTAAAATTTTATTCATTAGATAAATTTTGTAAAGAAAAAGATAATGAATGTATAAATGACAAAACAATTTATATCTAATTAATTTCAATTCATCATAATTTGATTGTTTTTTAAAATAAGGATTAGATAAAGTTTTGCATTTTTGAACAATTTGGATTAAGATGAAATCAGATTTAGGATGTTCTGTCCCTATCTTCCTTAGGCTATATAAAAGAATATATTTTATTATTTTATTATACATATAATATATATGTATGATATTAATAACAACGTTATTTAATACATTAATTTAACAAAAAGCTACATTTATATATAATTAAATTAAAATTTATATTAAAAAAATAAATACACATATTTATCTATATGTCATTTATTAAAGTTTGATATAAAAATTTTATTTATCTCATATTTAAAATATAATTTAAAAAAAATAAAAAATAATCCCATGATGAAACACGGGTCTAAATCTAATTGATATAAAAATTGTTAAACTAGTCCCATATTCTAAGATTTGTCTTTTTTTTTAAAAAAATATGATTTGATAAAGAAACAAATTAATCTTTTACTTATAAAATCACGATCCAATCTATAATTGTTAAATAAGAGATAATTTTCCCTCAACAAGTAATTTTAGATTTGAGACACTAACAAGTATTGAAAACAAAATGAGGTTTATAAATATTATAATTGTTACTAATCCAAAATGTAATACTATAAGTAAGCACTTTGATTTCTATATTGCCGATTTGGCACTTTGATTTACCCACTTGTTTCATAGTTGCCCTCCTCTATTGCATTTTTTCGGCTTTTGTAGTAGCCTTTTATTATATGTCATTGGGCAATAAGGAAGGTGGGGAAGCTTTTATGTGGTGGAGGACCAATCGAGAAGATTGTTGAATGTTTGGACGATGGGATTTGCGAGTTCCCTTTGAAAACTGAGAAATAATAATAATAATAATAATAAAAGCTGGATCAATTCGCATATCAAAATGGGATCTGGGAGCCTCCATTGTTGACTAGTTCCACTTCTCTTATTTATTTAATAATAATAAAAGCAAGTTTAAAACTGCCTCCGTTATCTCTTCAATTGGAATTTACTTAAGCCAGTGCCCGGAGTTCCAAGCAAGAAAAGCAGCTCGATGACACTTGTGAAAGGGCACATGGCAGCCGATTCAACTAATAACAGCGTGGACTTTGACTAGCTATTATATGAATCCAGTTCATACCCAATAAGAAGAAGCCATCGCTGTTGAGCCGATCATGTGCCGTTTCTCCGCATTGTAAAGCGGCGAGAATGATTAATACGTCATCAAAGTCTTTAACAGATATATAATTTTTATTTATAAAGTCAAATGGTACAAATTTACGTGATGATCGATGGGGCTTGATCATATACATTTTCCTTTTCAGCACATCATATAGGTTTAGTCTGTGATCCTGCTTGGACTGGAAACCAAGTTTTTCAACTCCATTGAGCTGTATAAAGCTTCTATCGGTGCCAATATTTTTACATGGACAAATCAGGCGCACCACTCCATCCTGCCTGCCTCCTCTATAAATCAGAACTTTTTCACGACGACTTTTGCCATCAACCAAACAACCAGAAACATGAAGATCGTGCCAGTTTTTCTGTGTTTCCTCCTCTTCTTGACCTTCTTCTTATCTTCTCTGTCAGAACACTGCAACCCTCAAGACAAGAAGGTCCTACTGCAAATCAAAAAAGCCCTAAACAACCCTTACCTCTTGGCCTCGTGGGACCCAAAAACTGATTGCTGTGATTGGTATTGTCTTGAATGTGATCTCAACACCCACCGTGTGATAGCCCTCACCATGTTCTCCGATGACCGTCTCACAGGCCAAATCCCAGCTGAAGTTGGTGACCTTCCATACCTTGAAACTCTTATATTCAGACACCTGCCTAACCTCAATGGCACCATACAGCCTTCCATTGTCAATCTCAAGAACCTCAAGATGCTTCGCTTGAGCTGGACAAACCTGTCTGGTTCAGTACCAGACTTTCTTAGCCAACTTAAGAATTTGACTGACTTGGACCTTTCATTTAATAACCTGTCAGGCTCTATTCCAAGCTCACTCTCTTCACTTCCAAATCTTGATGCTTTGCATTTGGATAGAAACAGGTTGTCAGGTTCAATACCAGAATCTTTTGGTATGTTTCATGGCAAAGTACCAGATTTGTTCTTATCTCATAATAAACTTTCTGGTACAATTCCGGCCTCTTTAGGCAACATGGACTTCAACACCATTGACTTGTCGAGGAATATGCTTGAAGGTGATGCCTCGATGTTATTTGGATCGAACAAAACGACATGGGAAATTGATCTTTCAAGGAATATGTTCCAGTTTAATCTGTCTAAAGTTGAGTTTCCCAAGAGTTTGGCAAGGCTGGATCTGAATCATAACAAGATTATGGGAAGTATTCCTGCAGGGTTGACTGGAGTGGATTTACAGTTCTTGAATGTGAGTTACAATAGGTTGTGCGGGCGGATCCCAGTAGGAGGGCGGTTACAGAGCTTCGATTACTCCACGTATTTTCACAACCGTTGCCTGTGCGGTGCTCCACTAGAAGCCTGCAAGTAAGGGTGCAACACCAAGGCTTTTCGGCAAACGGATTTGCCAGGGAAGGGAACCAATGATGGGAGAGTTGTAATAAGCACATCGCGGCAAATGATCTGACATTCAATTTGCATTTATGCTAGCGAGTCTGCTTGTAATTTTATAGGTTAGAAGCCAGAAAAAGCACATAATCAAGGCGCATCTTTGCAAAAGTTATCTGCTTTTACATTGCAACGCGGGCATTAATTTTTAAAGGATCAGAGAACAAGTAGAAACAGAGAGTAATATAAATGCAACATGGTAACACAACAACACACTAATCCATATATCCCATGGCAGCATAGTAACACAAATAACAGAAATTTGGTCCCCTTATAGAACATGAAAGGTTGGAAAATCTCTCATCTCCTACAGCTAATATAAAGGGAGAATCATTCAACGCGCAATCCATTCAGGATGGCTGCTCTAAATCAAGTTGTGATAGCACAAATTCCCTAACTCAAGATCAAAATGGAACAAAAACTTTTATCGGCAATCTGACCCTTAATTATGTATTCCAAATAACTCAACATTATTTTTCCCCTCAAATTTCTGAAATAAATTATTCACAAAGCACTTGCCCTTCTCTTTTCCTTTAAGGAGTGCTGTCAAATATCAGTTGCTATAATCCATTTTACAATTCGTTTGATGAAAGAAAACAAATGCAGTCATTTCTTTACAGGGAATGACTGATGCACCGTCACAAGGAAGATTCCTTCCACTCTAATCTGTTAAGCCCATCAACAATTGCCTTCCGAAACTCACCATTATGAAGAAGAAAGGATGAGACATGCCCGCCAGTAACCCATCTCACCTCTGAACCAGGCCAAGCCTTTTGAAGCTCCAGCACAGAGTGCTTTGGTATGTAACCGTCATCCTAAAACACATAATTGCAATTGAAGATATAGATGGTGAGACTAAATAACAAGCAGTGACTCTAACAGACCATTATAAAGACAGCATTAAGCATGAGAAGAGATAATTTTGGGATCTAGGTAGCACCATAGACATTTTATGAAATATATAAAACCTAAGAATGGTAAAGATAGAGGTGTTCAATCGCCCTGCTATTACAATATGTGGAGTTACCCATGCCTCATCCCCCTTCTTCTAGGGGAAAGGAACTCCTTAGTGGGCCTTAAAATAAGAAAACATAGATGATTCCAACAATCAACACAGACTGCAGGATAAAGACAACCGCATCAACTAAGTTGATTGCAAATTGAAATTTTGAATCTTAAAGAAATTAATTGTTGAATCTTTTGTATTAAATCTTTTAAGTATAAAAATTGCACTGTAATAAACGTAAAGAGTAACCAAACATGTTGGGAAATAAAAAAGCTTAAAATATCAAAATTAAAATTTCAATGAATTCAAGGTCTTCAACATGTTAACAAATATCACCTAAAAAATTGACATGTATATATTAACACAAATGACTGATAAAATACATTGTAATTCATAGGGCCAAAAAACCACTAGACATGGTAAACTTTGAAATAATCAAACTGCCCACACATCTCATCCATTCAAACACTGATAGGCTTGATCACTGCAAAATTCAACAGTAAGAACTTTTGAAAGGAAGCACGACAAGTAGTTGAGAAAAAGGAAAGAATGAATAAGAAGATAAAAATGTTTAACTGCAAGGATGCTTCATTTCCATATGATAGAGTGGATAACATGCAAACAAAAGGAAAAAAACAGTTCCCTAATAAAATAAAAATGACTATCAGTATTCTTAAGCAACATCCATTTTGTCAGACAGAGATATGGTACTTACAGTTGCAGCAACAAATATTATTGCATTAGGGTTTTTGGGAATTGGAAAGCGTGTGACATCTGTGAGAGACAGTACATTTCGCATTCGTTCTCTCACCTCCTCGAGAGTCATTGCAGCCTTTTTTGCTGCAAGATCCTCTCTCAGTGCCTCCCACGCAGTGCCATGCTTCAATATACCCTCACAGAATGCCACAACAGCAGAATGTGGGGAGAGAAAAGGAAGAGTTGCAACAGGTGCGGGGTGCAGTGATCCAACCATTGCAGCATGCACTCCCCCTAATTCCATAAAAGCATCAACTTTAAAAAAGGATATGATGATTCAGGGTGTGAGCAACCTAGGTTTCAGGAAGAATGTTGGCCATATATTTCATAACCATGAACCAAGTAATTGCATAAAAGCATGCACTCCCCCTAACTCCATAAAAGCATCAAACTTTAAAAAAGGATATGATGATCAAGGAAGTCAGCAACCCAGGCTTCAGGAAGAATGTTAGCCAGATATTTCACAACCATGAACCAAGTAATTTAGTTTTTAGCAAAAAGTAGGCAATATATGTTTTAACCCCCCCCCCCCAAAAAAAAAAAAGAAAGAAAAAGAAAAAACAAATAGACTAAAAGCACCACAAGAACAATATTTCTTACCCATGCTAAGTCCACACACACCCATCTTGCCGAAACCTGCCTCAGAGTCTAACCAGTATAAAAGGCTGCGTGCCTCTTCAATGGTTGCTCTCCCTAATAGAAGCAAGTCACTAACACACAAGAGTTTTGCACCACGCTGCAGCATAGGACGCCTTTGACCATAGAAAGGGCTACAAAAATAGTTATATTGATTAGAAAGCCTAAATGCATAAGTAAAAGAAGACAAGCTTTCCTTTCAGCTTCTAAAACTAGTTGATGACACTAAAAGGACTCTAACCTCTCAAGAACCATAGTTGCGATGTTTTCCTTCAATAATGGTCCACCGAGACGCAATCTCCGTTCAAATGTATGGTCTCCAGTGCCTAGCAAAGAAGGTTCAATTTTGTATCAATAAAGACGAGGTCTAAAGATAAAATTCACAACCCAAATGATTTTCAATTTTATGTTTAATCTAAACTGAAATATTCTGACAAATTCACAACTCAAATGATTTTCAATTTTATGTTTAATCTAAACTGAAATATTCCGACATGATTAATCTGGGAACTACAGCTAACAAATTTATACAGGTATAGCAAACAAACAAAGGTTTATACATGCATGTTTAACCTGAATGATTTGAGTAGTTGGAATGCATACACACACACGCACACGGCAATAAAATCAAATGTCTTGTTTGGATGACTGCACAATCATTTTGATATGAACTAATACTCACAAAAGTGACAGAACATTTCAGGGTGTCAATGTAAACTTTGGACAGACTTATGCTTGGAAATTTACCATCCACTGCTTATTGCTTGAGCATTTGCTTCTTTTCTTTAAGATCTTAGATTTTTTAACATTGGGCATAGCAAATAGGCTTGGCCTTCTTTTTGTACATTTATTTTCTTTATTTGGTTTTATCCTCTTTTCAATGTGGCATATTTCTTGTAAACCTGTCATGTGATGGCTGCAAGGTTTTTGAATAAATTATTATTAATTGAAAAGAAGACTGAGCATCAAAATTTTCATAGGCTAATAAGTGCATCCACATATAACAAGGCAAACCTTATGCAGACTTAACCATTAAAAAAAAATCCAGAAAAGTTCCAATTTTTCCCCATTTTTAATCGAAATGAATGTCATCAAGTGCATAATTGATTAATCAATCTGTCAGACAGAAGAAAAGTGGTTTAGATATCAACTTAGATGGGTTGTCTTGCTTAAATGCAAGCCTAAAATAAACAGTAGTTAGGCACAAACAGTTTAAAGAAAAAAAGAAAGAAAGAAAGAACATTAAAATCTTTAATCACAAATGAGAGTAAGTATGCTAAAACTTGAAATATATACAGCTGGTCACAAATCACCATCATAAGACCTGATTAACAAACAGCAGGAAGCTGGTGACTTTCTCATATAACAATCAAAGGTTGTTGATCACTGTGACATAATAGAAATATCTCTTTCAAATTAAATCCCGAATAAAGCAGAAATAAACTAAGCCCAATATTCAATTTCCACCATTTAGAAGATGATTCATTCCAAGCTCACACCAAGAATAAAAAGCAATCAACTAGCATTATCCTGGTATAAAAGTAAACATAAATAAACAATTAAAGTGCACCTCCTAATTGTGATAATGAAATCACTTATCAAACTAAACTACAGGCAAACAACAAAACCATATCGAGGGCTTAAAATACAAGGGGCCACCAATTCAATTCTATTCAACAGCAAACAAAATCTCCAAAACCAACTTAATTAATCAAGCAAAGAAAACTAAAAGTGCATGATTTATCTAAAGGCTAAAAAGATATACCTGCAAGGTGAACCACACATGCCATCTTTTGAGGTGGCACAAATTTTGGGACAAGGAAAGCAACCCTTGCATTATGACTTTCAGGAGGCAATGCACTAAGCAACTGCTTATCACAAGGGGTCCTAAACACACCTTCTCTCAAGCATGCACTTTTAGTCTCCCAAACTGTTCTCCAGATGGGTTGGATCAAGCTTGGAGGCCAGTTTTGGCCTTCAACTTCACTGAATAGCTGGCTTATCAATCCCTCCAGTAGCTCAAGCTTGGTTCCGCCCCACCCTCTTGAGAAAAATGGTGGACTTATCTTTGTTCTATGCATAAATGCACCATATACATGGTCTAGAATGTAATGAAGCATCCCCAGATTAACCGTAACCATTTTTTTTTTTGAGGAAAACCCACGTTTCAAAATCGATTAAAACAATGAAAAGTTGTATCCTTTTTATTGTTTTTAAAGATACCCAGAAAAGTTATTCACAATCTGGGTTAATTAAAACAACCTAGTAATCAAAACTCTAACAAGATAAGATTTTTGATAGAAAGAAGCTTATATTTTGAAGAAAAGCTCGGTTAAATTAAATCTGATAAAGTAACCATACATTCCCTGTAAAAAATTGAGAAAAAGCAAGAAATGATTGGATTCAAATCCAGTGAAGTAATAGGGTTGAAAAAACAAAGGAATTTAAAAAAGAAAAGGAGAATGGAAGATCTGTAGAGTATTCAGGGTAAGAAATTAATAAGAAAAAAAGATTGAGATAAAGAATTGGCTCAGACCCAAAAAGATAGAAAAGGACTGATTATGAGGGAACAGAAAGATCCAAAAATTACGATATTCTGTTTGAACCTAAGAGAAACCATGGGCTGAGAAAGAATCTAAACCTGCCAATTGATTGACTCGTGGAAAATGGTCCTACTGCCATGTCATCCAATACCACTTGCCACGTCATAAAAAATCTATTGCCATTTTTTTTTTTGTTTGTTAATTCGGTGAGTACCATATGGTTGTTGAGGCAGTAAGGAACAGAAGGGAAACTGATAAGGCTGCCTTCTAAAATTTTAAATAATAAAAAGTATATATATACTATTTTACCCGTCCTAAAATACTTGTGTTCAATTTTTTTTAAGTTAAATTCCATTCTTTTTTTTTTAAATATTACATTGAATTAAAATTTTAAAATATACTTTGAAATTTTTGAATTTTGAAATTCAAAATTTAAAATTCTTATTTTAAATTTTTTTTAATTTCATAATTTAATTAAAAATAATGGTCAAAATTGCATATATTGATTTAGTGATAAAGATGAGAAAAAGTTTAAAAAAATTGATTTAAAATTATAGTATTTTGTTTAGTTAATTTTAAATTAATTTTTTATTTGGTTTAAATTAAACATGTATATTAAATATATATATTAAATTTGAATTGACTTTCAAATCAAAGAGTAAAAAATTCAAAAAAATTCAACGAAATCAAATTATATATTTTTATTAGTTTTTATGTATATTCTCAATTTTTATAAAATAAAATAATTATCTTATATCTAAATTTATTTAAATATATTAAGAGTCATATTAGCATAATATATAAATTTAAAATTTTAAAAATCAATGAGATAAACTGAATTTATAAAATTTAATTTAAATTGATTTCAAAAAAATTAGTTTGAGTTTATATCAAAATTTAAAATTTATAATATTATGTATTATATAAAAAATTAAATCGTTATCACTTTTACTTAATGATAAAAAAAGATCTTATAATCTTCAACTGTTTGAACTAGTGATTAAGATAATTTTAAAAAAGATATCAAGATTAATGTTCGAATCTCAACTTTTTTTCTTTCTCTTAATGTAAAGCTCTATCCCCCTTAAATAATAATAAAAAAAAGATCTTATAATCTTGAAATACTAAATTCAAGTTTCATTATACATAAATTTAATTATTTAATTGTATTTTAATTTATTAATTGATTACTGAGTAATATATTATCTATGGATGTAATACTTAATTATTATTGTAACTTTTTATATATATAATTTTAAAAAATAATAATCAAAATTGAATTAATTTGATAAAAATTTAATAAAGACAATAATTTAAAGATGGAACAGTAGTTTATTAAAGTATTTTTTAAGATGTTGCCTAACTGGGTATGGCTTACCTGCTAAATAAATAAATAAAATAATAAAATAAAACAAAGACGGCTGGTGGCCATGATGATCATGATTGTTCAGTGTAATTATGGAAAAAAGTACTATGGCTAGAAAGATACAACCAATTGACCAACAAAACAAAAAAGTACCACCAATAACTGCTTTGTACAATCTACAGCGAATTAATATTCAAATGGTTACGCAACTCACAATCCAGAAAAATCAAAATACACACGATTTTGTATTAAATTTTAACTTGCATACGAGTATTTATTCAGTGATGGGTGCATAATTTTCTATTTCAATTCATTTTTTTTTCAAACAAAAAAATAATTTTTTTGAATGAACATTCAACTTAAAATTAATTAATAATAAATAAAAAGTCTTTATTATCATGCAAGAAATTCTTTACTATTTAATTTGATGTTTTCCTAATTATACTTAATTTGTTTAAATTAAATTTTAAAATGACTAGCCTGAACTATCTTAAAACAGTAGAAATTCCAAGAAGAAACAGAGACAAGCCTAAATACTGGAAAGCCACCACACAGGCACTGGCCCTGCCAATTTGCCTAGTCATCAGCGATTATACATACAGTTTACGAGAACATAAAACATGGACAGAACAGCGGCCTACATCCATAATTCTACTAATATTGCACTTTATAAAGCATATTTAGATGAAGCTAGTAATATTTGAGGCTCGGTCACCAATGGTTTCTGAGCCTGGAAGTACTAGAATGCTTCATCCATGGTAGTGGAAAACTTTAATAACATTCATTTCTGCTAGGAGACAACGAACAGTATCACAATATTCATACTGATGGAAATGGAGAAAGCCTAGCCACAGGGTGACTAATCAAGGGATGAGCTCTAAGAAGAGTCATTCCAGCTTTTTCTTCCATATTAACAGTTCCATTTGCTCCATCCCCAACTTTCCAATCAAAGCATTGTATTAATATGCCAAGGACTGTTGGGACAACCTGAAGTGCCAGTGAAGCTCCTGGGCAGCTTCTTCTTCCACTCCCAAATGGCAACAGGCTGAAGTGCTGTCCCCTCACGTCCAAAAACTGGTTCTTCCCTTGCCTCCATTCTTCTCCAAGAAATCGCTCTGGTATGAACTCAAGGGGGTTTTCCCATTGCTTTGGGTCCCTACCAAGAGCCCACACATTGACGAACAGCCTGGTTCCTTGTGGAATCTCATAACCACCGATGATACAATCTTCTGTCGACTCTCTCACAACTAAAGGACCACCAGGATGAAGCCTTAGAGTTTCCTTTACTATTGCCTGGAGATATGGGAGGTTTGCTATGTCAGATTCCTCCAGTATTCTGTTCCTTCCGACCACAGTGTCAATCTCTTTTCGTGCTTTCTCCATCGCATGTGGGTGATTAATAAGCTCTGCTACTCCCCATCCTATAGTAACTGAAGATGTATCTGTTCCAGCCCCAAAAAAATTCTGCAAAATTCATATCTTACATGTTAGTCTTCTATCCTCTACTATTAGCAGTTGATAATGCTAAAATATTACTGCATTTAGTTTGTTTCTTACCGTATGGTTAATGTTAACATGGTTTCGTAATCAAACTAAAATATGCATGTGTGCACTCTTGTTCAAGTATGTGTTTGTACATGTAAAACATTTAGCAGATATATGGAAGACTCATTACCATAACGAAGGCTTTTATGTTTTCTCTGCTCAGTTTCATCTCGGCATTTTCATCTTCTGATATGTCGATCAAAATATCAAGCACATCTTTGACTGTGTCACCCCCACCTCCATTCTTCTTTCTGGCCTCTTTGTGCTCCAGTATGATTTTCTCCATCAGAATATCATATCTGTCCCGAACGTCCTTAAGCCTTTTCCTAAACCCCTGGAGGTCTAAATTTTTACAAAACCAAAGTAAATCTGACAAATTAAACTTTGTGCCAAGGTTATTCATCTCTTTCACTAGCGTCTGCACTTCATTGGCTTCATCTTCTTTGTCTGAACACCTCTTGCTTAGTAGCATTCTTGATATTATGTTATTTGTCAGCCTCATTAGTTCCACTCCAATGTCAACCGCCTCTCCTGCCTCAGCTTTCTCTTGTACTATTTTTACAAACCGCTTCATCTCCTCACGCCTAACTGGAAGGAGCTGGTCTAATGTTCGAGTCCCCAGAAGTTCAGACATGCAAAGTTTCTTCATGTACTTCCAAAGGGGTCCATAAGGTGCCATGGCCATATCAGCAGTACCATATGTAAGGTAATCAAGATTGGCCATTTTTGGCCGGTTTAAGAAAGTAGTTTCATGATTTTTTAATACTTCTTTTGCCAGTTCTTGGGAGGAAACAAGCACGCTAGGTTTTGATCCGATGTAGAAGTAAATCAAAGGTCCATAGCGGTTTGAGAGCTTGTTAAGAGCTTGGTGAGGTATAGGGCCAAGAAGGTGCATGTGTCCGATAACTGGAAGGGCAGGTGGGCTTGGTGGAAGATGAGTTTTGCCTCGTTTTTTCTTGAGGATGGCTTGGAGCAAGATGATGGTTATCAGCCAGATAAGGAAGACAATGATGTAGTCTTGTGAACCAACCATGGTTGAATGCAAAGAAATTATGTGAGTTGCAGAATATGGTTTCATAGATGTTCTTATATAAGGGCCAAAGCAGTGTTCTTTCAAAATATTTTTGCAGCAAGAGGTAAAGGGGACCACGAAATTTATGTCAAACATCATTTCACAAAGCCATATACTTGAATGATTAAGTCATGGAACTGTTACATGAATGGTGGTTGGGGAATGAATTGAATTGTTCCATAGAATTCCTGTGAGGCACCACCATACGTGAGATTTTCTGTTGTTATGGATAAATTAACAAGTTTGATCAGTTACTCCTTTTGCATAGAGTGAATAAAACTAGAAAAAAAAAAAAAAAAGGTTTCAAACTCTGATGATCTTGCAACATTTACCATTAGAAACTATATGAAGTTCTCTCTGTAGTGCTTATTGTTGTAAGTTTGTAACACTGCAGCTATTACATGTGCATTTCGTCTGCTTCAATCAAATTAAAATTACATTAGATCTAAGCCATGAATGGGTAGGAAATCAATACTATTGTACTAAAGGTACACGCTCGGATGCAGAATTTGGGGAAATGAAATTCTTGGAAAAGTTAGGAGGAACAAAACAGGAGATTTTTGCATTATGACTATTTTGATCATGACATGTATAATAAAAGCTTTGGAGTGATGATGTATTTCTTCTACCACTTTTCTTGCCTTGTAATGGTCCCCATATTACGATTTCTTACTCTCACCCTACCTTAATTATTGTACTTATATCTTAAATTTTTCATCAAATCTGCAATGGAAAATAGATCAAATATGTAAACAAGGCGGCCGGACATCAGCTGATGCTTTCTTTTTTCATTTTTAAAAGGTTTCTTGATGTAAATAGAGATGTGAAAACTTCCATTACATTTGGCAAGATTTGTTATAAATTTCTGCTTTGGACCTTCTCATTCTGATTCAAAGGCTGTCACACTAGAACCAAATTGACTAGTTTTGCAAAAGCATTTGCATTGCTCATTTCCCTGAATTTCCAAAATTGTGAACATGATTCATTGTAGTAATAATAAACACTTAAACAGTGCTATTTGATATTTGCAGAATAGAAATGAATGCTATTCGATATAATAAAAGCAGGATGTCTCTCCATTGTGACATATTATGACAAATGTTTGAAGCAGGATTGAATTTGAAGGCCAGGTTTTTTCATTTGTTTTCTGGAAATTGCATATGACTTAAAATCTGTCTAGTGGGTGTTCGTCATTGCCAGCTTATGGAAGTTTCCACTGTCTAGTTGATAGCCATTGCTGTCCTCAGTCCATAAAATTGCTTGTTTAGATGGAAACCAGATAAAAGACTTTGGAAACTTTCTTTTTGGTACAGAGGATCAGGAACACAATTAGACATATCTGTTGACTGTTTGGTGTGTTTATTTTATATAAAATACTTGTTAGCATAATGAAGGCCTTTATGTTTTCTCTGGTTAGTTTACCTCTGAGCTCTCATCTTCATATTTATCAAGTAACATATCAAGCACAGACTTCATGGCTGCATCACCTTGCACAGCCATTTCCTTCCTCTTTTTCCTAGCATTTTAATGCTCCTTTATGATCGTCTCCATTATAATGTCATGCATGTCACGATCATCCTTAAGCCTGTTTCCGAAACCCTGCAAACTCTGTGTTTAATTCCCAAAATTAATAGGACAAATTAAACTTTGCTCCTGGCTCATTCAGTTCTTTCACCAATTTGTTATTAGATTTAATAATTGGATAATAAATCTATAAGATTTGAGAAGATAGAAACATTATCTTTCTGATGCATGCATATAGCAATTGAGACCCAAGTTCAGTCAGATTTGTCTAATTTCCTACCATACTTGTCATTGACACTGAATATATATTTTATCTAATAGGCATGGTGTCCTGTATCACACTGGAGAACATCACACGAAATAAAACTTTGATCAACTTGATATTTATTTAGTATTTGCAAGGTATCTTATTCACGACGAAGATGTTTGATCAGCAGTTACGATTAGTTTGTTTATTTGTGGTCTCGCCGGGAAAGTCAAAAACGGTTTAGCAGAATTTATAAATTAAAATTTTCAAATTAGTAACTTTTTCTGTCAAAATACATCTATGGCAATTCAAACCTGCTGCTCTCAATAGTGTTCAATAGTGTTCATTATGAGTTTACAGCTTGTAGTATCTAATTAACCTAAGGAACCAAAACTGTAATGTTTACAGCAATGACAGCTTACAACATTCATGTTTACTAATACATGAAAAAGCTTCACTTTGTATACAGCTGAGCAATAATGTATTTCTAAAATTCTGCATCTTTAGATTTTTGGGAAGACAGTCTTTAATCGAGTGGAATGGATAAAATAGATTGACATTGTTGATTAAGTTGGAATCAATGTGTGGTTAAGTTCAACTTTCCAATTCATCTCCTTACTGATCTGACTCAGGTTGCTCTAAATCAATACAATTATTGTAAGTGACCATAATATACATTATATATGGACTACATTATTTGTAAGTGACAATGATGTATATATTTTTTTTTCTTGGATTATGATGAGACATGTTGGATTATACTGCAATATTTTTAAAATTGTTTTATGAAAGGGGGACCAAAATTGATGTGTACTTAGGACTTATGTTACTTATTTTTGTTGTATGATGCAAGTGGACTAATTTGGAGAATAATTAAGCCTTCCGGTCTCAATAATGGAAAATCTTGATGATGCATATATATAATTCCTGTTGAGGTCATTTTCTTCCTGCGTATCAGATACAGATGTTTGAAGGGAAGCAGTGGTCCATGAGTGGTCCATGAGATTGAAAACTACATATGAAAGAAGCTCCAATGTATGCTACAACTGTATTTTCCTGGATATTCATATCAGTTGTTTCATTTGAGTTGGTGTTTTTTGTTGATTTTATTCCATTCCCACATCATTTTCCAGGATTTATTTGCAATATTTGATTCATCTTGGAAAGTATTGAAGGGTTTATAATTTAATTTATTTTGCCTTATCTTCCTTTACTTACAGGTCATGGAATATGTCTATAGGTTGTTTTCTCATCTCCCTCGAAAATTTGTGCACATTGACTGAGAATTAAGAGACGGGTCAACTAATGGAGGCCAACTACTGTTTTTTTTTTTACTTGATGCGCCAGTATTTGAACCTTGATCATTGGAGCTAAGATTATAGCACTATACCAACAAGCCACACAGCCGTTGGCAGAGGCCAACTACTTCAGTTCTTGCATATGAACATGCTTGAATAACGATACATTGATAAAAAATTGTTATTATCTCGCCTTGTGAATGCCATGCAAGTGAACTGATATATTGAGAAATACTGCAATAGAAGGGACAAAGTGCACTTATGAAATCACGACACATGGTAAGGTAGTTGATTCTTTCAAGGGAAATATAATATTGACAGTATAGACTATAGTGATTGCTACATTTCCTAATAGGATCTCAATCAAATTGGATTCTCACATGGGAAAAAAAAAAAAAAGAAAAAAACCCTTTGAGATGTTGCAGCCTGCATGGTAGAATAGAAGAGGAAAATATGAGAGGTTGAAAAGCTCTTTTGTAATTGAAGACAACCTTGGTTACTCGAAGTTTACTAACAATTAGTGAAAGCTTCATGTCCGGATGTCCCTATGGTTATTTACTCTGAAATAGGTGAAGCATCAGAAGCAGAAAAAGCTACTCGTTTGAAAAAGGAAAAACAAATTCCTGCTTCTGTTGCAGGAGAAAAATATATATAAACAAACAAATATAAATTGAATCGATTGATGATCGAAATTTCAGGTTTAAGGACTTGCAGTGTAGTAAGTTAGAGCCAATATACCCCAATGACGACACAAAACATTAGAGACTGTATCCCATTAAATTTAATTGATTGGTGCTTTGACAACTCAAGGAACAGGGCTATGCTCATGCTCCCTGGCAACAAAGCCGGCTGCCAAGGATGCAAACAAATTAAAAGCATCTGCTAGGAGAAAAAGAATGATTCATTTTGTCATTGAAAAGTTAAAAACAGAAGAGAATAATACTACAAGCCAAGTCAAGCTTGAGCTCCATAAGATACGAGACAATGCTTCCACTCAAAAAGCACTGTTTCATAGAACCAGTGACAGTTGAGACAATGCTTAGGGCTAGTGAAGCTCCCGACAGCTTCTTCTTCCACCCCTAATTGGCAAAACATTAAAACCCATCCACTGGCTCTTCTCTTCCGTTGCCACTCTTCATTGCTAAGAAACCCCTCTGGCCACAACTCATGGATAAAGACTAAGCAGAAAGGGGTATCTGCTGGGATTTCATAAATTCTGCAAGGTTCAAAGCATACAAATCAATAATAGTCTCCGGCTTATCATTTCACATGTATGGATTTTTTTTTTTTTAATCCATATTTCTATATACGATGAAATTTCTTAAATGCACTTGCTTATGAGTTAATTAAGTCAGATTTTATGGCCTACGTGTTTTTTTTTTTTAATTTTTATTTCACTATTTCCTAAAGTTTCAGAAGCACATAAATTAGCTAAAACAATTATCACTACATAGTTAATTGGAGGTCTTAATAACGGTACAATTCTTTTAAAATTAATTTTCTTTTAAGTAAAAAAAAAACTGAATTTGCCATTTATTTTGGACGAAAGAAAATAGAATTAGGCATTTGAAGGTGAAATGGAACAACTTTGCACACAAAAATTAAAAAAATAAATAAATAAAGGTTTTTGCATTTTATACCTAAAAAGTATTCATACTTTGAATTTTATAACTAATATTAATTCACTGAATCTTCGTTTTTATTTGGGGCATAATTTTCCTAAAAAAAAATGATTTAAAGAATTTTTTATATCAAAATCTTGACAGTTTAAGACATCTTGATATTTAAGAGATTAATCAATTTATTTTCTTATTATTATAAATAATTTTGTAATTTTTTACACATAACAGCAAGTTTGCCCGAGTGGTTAAGGGGGAAGACTTAAGATCTTCTGTACAAAAGTACGCGTGGGTTCGAACCCCACAGCTTGCATAAAAATAAAACTTGTTTTTTCGGGCTTTTGAGTTTTCACCACAACCAATAAACCGAAGTCCATTAGCGACGATAACTTTGGTTAGCGGAAAGAAACTAACTTTGCTTACCATGTTAGCATGCACCAATATCATAATAAATTAATAATGCCTGATTCTTTACTTGTTTTAAATGTCCTTTTTTAGCTTTAACCTGATTTTAATATTTAGTTATGAAAATTGGTAAATTGAGCTGGCTTTCTTTTAAATACATATATGATATTGAATTACACCCAAAAAAAAATCTCATAAGTATGACTTCTTCAATCTTATCTCATAAAAATATTCAACAATTTAACATTCTATATATGTATCTGTTCATTTTCTATACAATAAGAGCTAAGACTTTATCACATACAAAATCCAAACGTTCGTAATACAGGCTTTACCTAAGGGACAGTATTATTGGCACACTCCCCCTGTACTTATAGTTCATGCTCACCCCAAACACTGTAAGAGATGAATGAGTCCTAATCTCTCTCATATCATGCTTAGAATGGGCATGAAATGTACATTTGACTTAAGGGATCTCTAAATTAAAATTAAATAATCAATCAAATCTTTATCATTTTATTATAATTAATTGAACTTTTAAATATTTAATTTTATTTAATTAATTTTTTATTGAAGAATATTGATAACTGTCAGTATTCATTTTCATTCAATCAAAAGTTCAATTGAATACATATATATTTAAAAATTCAATTGATTGAATAATTATCATTTTTTATCAAAAAATTTGGATAATTATTTAATTTTCATTCTAATTCTAATTCTAATTCAAGGGCTTTGTTATATTTAAGCCTAAAAAAGAAAAAATCATATTTGTACGGTTGCATGTACGATACCACATCAATGCGTAAGAAACTGATGTCAAAATTTTAGAAAGGCTGCTTACCAGGGAAAACGGGAAATATGAAGAGATACAAAAAGATGATGAACTTTGAAATACAGCATCACTAAACAATGTTAAGATCATATTAGGCAAGGCAATAGCAGCTTGAATTGAGTGGTTTCGGACACAACAAAGTATCACCCATAGAACTATATATCCATAGCAGTAGACAATCTGCTAAGGCAAAAAAGAAATTCCATCTTAATGTGAAAAAAGTGTTAGGGGACAGGGCAAAAAAAAAAATCCATAACATTGCACCAATTAAAACCATAAAGCATGTTGAACAAAAATTGATTGAATCCATTCGAATTATACTTGAATAGTGAAGCAGTTCGAATGACAACATGAATAATGAAGCACCAATTCGAATTTGAATAGTGAAGCACCAATTCGAATGATACTTGAATGGTAACATGAATATAGAGCCCAAAAAAATGTGAAGCAAGTCCAAACAAGAAGTATTATCTACATGGGTTGAAGCAAAATCCTCCTATTCCTATACTGGTCCCTTCAAAGAATGAAGGAGAGAAGAACGTGATTGCCTACCAATCTTATAGCAGGACCTTCAGTGAGGATTGAAGGAAAATTGCCTCCTGATCCTATAGGAAGACGTTTAGTAATATGTCGAAATGTTTTAAAAAAAATAAAAAAAGATAGAAAGTATCTATGCAACCTGGTAATGTATCTAAAACATATCATCAGAGGATGATTAGCCAGCTTCCACTGCGGGGTGATTTGCAATCTCTAGCCTTCCAATTGCTCTCACTGATGCTATCTTCCCAATCCTTGTGGTTGCATAATGCACTAGAGATCAACGCATTGACATCAGAGTACGGACTTTCTTTTGTCTTTCTGCTTTCTTGGCGCTGGGAGTCCTCGTCATTTTCTGTAATTCCTCCATGACAGCTTCCTCTACAATGTCAATTGAATTCAAGAGTTTCTTTTGGGGTGTAAGAAGCTCTGATTCCTCAGCATTCTGATTAGTGACATTAAGCAAAATCTTTGACACATTACGGACTGATGGAGGACAAGGCTTCAATCTGGAAGTTGAAGCTGGAGTAGAGAAATTGTGCTCGAGTTGAGTACCTGAAGATACATTTGAATTAAGAACCCTTTCATCCTGGGATATTGGGCTCTCAACTATAAGGCTTTCACCATCTCCTAAACGAGCTCTCCTCCTTTCAATGGCCTGGTTAAATCCTCATCAAATTTAATTATCTCAATAAAACAAGTCAAAGAAAACATCCCAGTGAAAGAACAAAAGAAAAATATAGCATCAACTCTATTTCAGCTCAAATCCCATGACTCCAACGAACCTGAAGCTGTTCAGGGCTCCCCTCAAAATTGACAACCAAAAGAAATATGAGAAAATTTCCGATTTTGACAGACTCAGAAAGCAACGATTCTATCTGGTGCTCGAGTTGAGCACCCAATGTAATTTGCTATACAAAGCGCTCAATTGTCGTTGAAAGGATAGGACACTAGTGTGGCTATTTCATAGGATGACACTGTAGAAGGGCAGTTTAATGAATGGCCATTTCACTAACACAGATGAAGAAAGTCATTTAGAAAAAATTAGAACAAAATTAGAAACAAAAAATTAAAACAATTAAGGCTAATATATCAGACTGAATTAAATAGCAAAAAGATCGACAGGCAGTATGAATCCATGAACCACAGGCAAATGGACTACGGGTGAATTAGAAATACTAAGGGAACCTAAAGACAACTAAAACACACTTGACAAAAATGAAAGAAAATTAGATGAACATCAACGGTTTAGGACTCAAATGAGGATTTTCACAAATGTAAATCAATGAATCAAAATCCGGACATGAGAAATTTAAATCGAGCTCACTCTAGCCAGAGCAAGCAACTTATATGGTAATACTAGATAAATAAATAAATGACGAAAAAAAGCGAACATTACCCTCGCAACAGCAGTAATATTCCGGAGAGGAGTTCTTGGGTACCAAGAAGGTAACACACTGTCGGTAGCTCGACCTCTTCCACGGCCCACAGTACTCTCTGTTGCCGGAGCATTCTCTCTTCCCGGAGCCGTCGATCGGTAAAGATTCCGTCCACGTCTAATACCGGATCTTGGGGTCCGAAAAATGCTATCCCTGCGGATCCCTCCACCATGCGCCGTAGAAGTAGTAACACTAACGGCCATTGGCCTACGCATAACTGCTTGTTGACCAGGGGAGCCTAACAATTCCTGTGCTTCATCTGAGACGATTCCCAAAGGCCCAGACCGTCTTCGAGCGAAGACTTCTGCTATATCAATGGCTCTCGTGATTCTATCTCTTGACTCTGCCATTGCTTATGAATTTCAACCGGGGAAAAAAGAAAAATAATAATAATAATAAAACAGAAGAAGAAAATGGGTATCAGAAACTTCCAAGAAAATGGGAAAGAAAGCAAGAAAGAAAGAAAGAAAGAAGAAAAAGATTGGGAAAATGGGATGGGTTAGTTTTACTTACCATGGATGAAATGGGGGTTTGCTTAATGGTGTTTGACGGTGATGAAGGGTCTGTTAGCAGAGGATAAAAGGGGAAAGAAAGAGAAAGCTTGGGTGTTTGGGAGAGAGGCGAATTTGGCAAATTTTTCAAAGTGAAAAATGGGCGGCATAGGTAGAGAAAGGTGTTTGAGGCCGGTGGTTTCGGAAAATTTTTCTGGCACGTGCAAGAGATATTCCATGGGAATTGTAATTTTCAAATTTTTGGCGTTAGCTGGGGCTAGTACAACGAAAGATATCAAAATATAAAAAATATATTTACTATAATATTTAAAATTTAAAAATTTTTTAATATGATATTTAAATTATAAATTTATTAATTAAAATGATATTTAATAACAATATGATTAATTTTAAGTGATAATATATTAAAAAATAAATAATTTTTTAAATATTATATTAATTAATATATTTATAATTTGTTTGTGTTAGATGATCTGTGATGAATGGAGTACTAACTTTTGGCATGATAAATGGTTAGGAGTATGGCTATAAACGAGTCGAGCCGAGTCGAGTAGTGAGAAGTTCGAGCTCAAGCTCGACTCATAACTCGGGGTTCGATACTCGGCTCGAGTTCGATTCGTGATCAAATTCAAGCTACTCGAGCTCGCTCGATTAATATGTAAAAATAAGCTCGATTCGTATACTCGACAAGAGTTCGATTATTCATGCTCGAACTCGAACTCGAACTCGGATTCGAAATATTTTATTAATTAAAAAAAATAAAAATATATTTAAATATAAAAGCTCGATTAGGCTCGCGAGCTACTCGAGTCAGATATAAAAATACTCGAATTCGGTTCGATCGATAAGTCGAGCTACTCGAGCTCGAACTCGACTCGACAATAATCAAACCAAATTCGAATTTTTTTCGAATCGAACCCGAGTAACTTGCGAATACTAATATATCATTTACACCCCTAATTAAGAGGGGCTATCATCCGATCATTGATCCATGGACTGCTCAATAGGAATGAAGAAGTAGCCAAAGTTCTAGAAAGCCTTGAAGCTCTTCAATCGTAGAGTAATGGACTTCATCTCCTTTCCAGCTGCCAAACTCTATTACCAACTCCATTCGAGCCATCCCTATGCCGCTGTTTGAGCAGAGCAAAGATAAACCTTATTGGACTGTTTCTAAAAGTGGAAACTTCTCCACACAATCGGCCTATGATCTAATTAAAGGAAGAGATGGCAGGACGAGAGATAAAGACTGGAGCTGGATTTGGAAACTAAAAACCCTGCATAAACTGCAGTTCTTTGTGTGACAATGCACCTATGGTATACTGCCAACAGAGATGCTTCTTCTTCATAGATGTTTGAACGTCCAAAGGGGATGTACCTTTTGCGACCAAGAGTGCGAGGATATTCAGCATTTGTTTATAGCCTGCACCATCACTCGCTTCAAAATCTGTGGCTGGTAATACAGTTCCTGTACAAAATGGTTCCTCAGTTAATGTTTCTCAGACTGAGGCTGGTGGTGGCAGGACAGTTACCTTAGGAACCCAACAGTCAGATGTGAATTTGGTCAAGGACCAGATTCCAAGAACAAAATCTGAAGGACGGTTGGATAGAGCAGAAAATGTCCCTCTTGGGAAGGCTGATCTGGGACGCCGGAAGGGTGAATGCCCGGGTCCCGGAGCCGCGCGGGTTCAGAGCTTGAGTCTCGACCCGTGACAAGTGGTATCAGAGTCAGCCCTAAACCGTTCGATCCACGCTGAGCGCCTCGAGGGAGGTAGGCAGGGTGGCCGGCCTCCGTGACGAGGGCGTCACGAGGTTGGGTGCGGGAGAATGTCACGGACCTAAGGGGGAGTCCTGAATCCCACATCGAACATAATAGGAAGGTCCCTGGGGTATAAAAGGGTTCACACCATCTCCGCCTTGTGAGGCGCCTTTTGTAGGACAAAAACCGTGAGGCCAAGGGGCCAGAGCGGACAATACCTCACAAGGGTGTGAACCGTGGCGGAAGGCTGATCTGGGACGCCGGAAGGGTGAATGCCCGGGTCCCGGAGCCGCGCGGGTTCAGAGCTTGAGTCTCGACCCGTGACAAGGCCAACATGATGTTATTAACGTCAATCCCAGTAGTTATGTTAAGGACTGGATTCGTATCAATGCGATAGATAACAAACGATCCCAGTACCATGGTATTACTTGGGGTATGTTGTTTATTCATATTATTTTTTTCAAATAATATTAATATAACTATTAAAATATTAAAAATTATTTATTATTAAAATTATTAATATAAAAAAATAATTATATTTTAATAATAATTTTTAATATTAAAATATTATGTTAATATAAAAAATACTTAAAATAAAACTATTTATTATTTTTATATTATTTATTAATATTATAATATATTATTTATTAATAAATGATTTATTAACATAATACAATATTTTTATTAAGATAATATTATTTATTAATATAAATATATTATTATAATATTTATTAATTAATATAATAATATTTTAATATATTATTTAGTAATATAACACTATTTATTAATATATTATATTAACAGTATATTATTTATTCATATAATATTATTTATTAATATATTTATATATTATTTATTTATTAATATAATATTATTTATCAATAAAATTATGCTCAAAAGCATTGATGAATAATTTTACTTATAAACAATTATTTTCTTAAAAATGTCTTCCAATTTTTAAATAATTTTCAAAAAAATAATCTTATTTTTCATTGATCATTAAATTATTTTTTGTTGATCAACTAATTTTCTGTTAAATATTTTTTGTTGATCAACTAATTTTCTGTTAAACAAATACCTTAAATATGAAAATTATTTTTTGAATGTTATTTTTCGTGAAATAAAAATTATAGGTAAAATATTCCCTTACTAACAAAATAGTCCAAATAATGACGTGACAAATACTGACAAATAAAAATGTGCCACATGTTATGATATTATTGGTTATTTTTTGCTTATGTCAACTTACCGTTAACAAAATTATTGTGCGGCACAAAATGCTTGATGAAAATATAATTAAAGTACCTAATCATGAATTTTTTTTATATAAATACCAAATCGTAAAAAATGATATAGTTGAAGGACTAATTCCGACATTAACCTTTTTGATAAATATATTGATAAAATAGACAAAATTTCCATCTCATGCAAAGCCAATATGAAAGTAATAGTACTGTTAGTGTAGGCCTCATTTCATAATATTATATCATTCATCTCAATATCAATTTCACTAAAATTAAAGAAAAATATGCACACCAATCCATCATTACCTCATTCTGTCAACCAAGAATATGAATAAACTTTTCCTACAAAAATATGCCTTTCTTATGAACTAACAAAATTTACCTAAATCAAAAAGTTTGGCAAAATTAAATATTATCATAACCATGTTTGGCAAAAACAAAAGACAGACAAAGGTGGGCTGCTAGGATTATCCACAGCAGCCACCTTTCCTTCCTGTTTGCAGCTCCTGATTGGGAACAATAATCCGGGTTCCCATAAGAAGACCTGAATTGCCATTAGGATCTAACTCATCATTAGCAGCAAGGGTTTTCTTGCTGATTATTCGATATATCTCTGTTAGAACTGTAAAAAATGCAGTTTCAACATTGGTAGATTCTAGAGCCGATGTCTCCATGAAGAACAGGTTCTCTCTTTGAGCAAACTCTTGTGCATCTTCTGTTGGCACTGCTCTCAGACTTCTCAAGTCACACTTGTTACCAATGAGCATCATAACAATATTCTTATCAGCATGCCCCTTCAATTCCTCTAGCCACTTTGCCATGTTGTCAAATGATTGACGCTTGGTCATGTCATAAACTAACATCGCTCCTACTGCCCCTCGATAGTATGCACTTGTGACGGCCCTATACCTGATAGGTGAAAGCAAGATGGATACTTCAGCACACCATACAATATGAAGGAAACAAAATGCAATAGTTTGATGAAACAAAACACCTTCTCAAGTCATCAGCCATTGCCATGTTACTTTGGGGACCTAATCTATAAGTTAAAATGAATAAGGACCAAACGCAAAGTAATTAGACATAGGTCAGAGAAGATGGTTCGATTTTATATAGTTTCATAAAATAAGCCAGTACTAAGATTACCATGTCAGAAAGAAATAGCAACCTCTGCTCGGTGCTGCAGCAAGATGACCAGTTTTTTAAAGCAAAGTAATTATCATCATCAATGTATAAGAAGAACAGGCAAAACAAACTGGTCAATCAAATTTCTTCCTTTCAGCTACGTGAATGCACTAATAAGTTGCGTTTCATTATTAGATTAGATGAAACCATTTAGCCAGTATGCATACTGCATAGAGTAATGAATATGGGTTTATGTTGTAGATTCAATCTAACTCCTGCAGAACTTGTGGACCTTTTGAGATAAAAACTCACTGTCTTTCACTTTATATAGTCATTAATCTATTATACAAACTCATTGATCTGCTTGAACTGCTCTGGGAATCTCAAAAAATGAACTAAATATGTTCGTCAATATAGCATGAATCTGCTTCAGTAAAGATGACTCGATAAGATTCATGAAAATTCGCTGAACACTAATTCTCTCATTCAGGCTACAACACCAAATTCAGTTTTCTATTACCTGACTTTTTTGTGCATTAGTGTTTGTTTGTCATTGCTATTCTCTTGTTTAATGACAGAATCTAGTGTAGTGTATATAAGAGCGAATAATTTGACATTGCTTACAGTATAATCTGTGGCATGCATACCTACTGATCGGACTTTGTGGTTTGCTCAGGCGAACTAAGAAGAAATTTTCACACGTGTCAAAACTATGGTAATGTAGGACACAATACTAAAACGCGTGATTGCAACATGACCAAGTGGAATCTTTTCTGCTAGAAACTGCTGAGAGGATTACTATAATCGGATCAGTTATCCTAAGGATAAAATGATGAGCAAATGTATTCTGGAGGGAAATAAGCTATATATCAAAACTACAAATGAGTTTACATCTGAAACGCAATACCATTTGGAGAAGATGGTACGCTCATGACCATGATAAAGAAGGAAAAGGGAGGAACTGAAAGCAGAATAAGGGTTGTCATGGACGAATAAGGGTTGTCATGAACGAAAAGAACAATTCGTATCAATGAAATTCAGACAGTAAACCAGAGTCCCATAAAGGATTAAGGTAAAGAATAGATAGATGCAAGAAACAGAAATCATTATGCAATGGGCTCAAGATTGAGTAAAATGATACAGTGATAAGCCAAGAACCCGGGATAGTAAGATACAATGAGACAATCGCCTTTTCTGTGCTTGCTTGATGAACAAATCCAGCCCAACAATAAACCAAAAAGTTCCAAATAAGCAACCCATCAAGTCTGAAAATACTGAATCCTAACCTTGATGTGCTCTTGAGAAAACTAGAATACAGCTCCATCATAAATGAAAGAGAAGCAGTCTATTAGCAGCACAAATTACATGAAAAATGTTTTACTAGTACGTATGATGCTGGCCTTGCAACATGTAAGAGTTCAAAACAATACTCTAAGGGGTGTTTGGTTCGCAAAATTTTGGATTATGAGAAAAAGTTTGATACCAAGGGTTTTGTTTGATTTTCAAGATATCTCATAATCGGATCTACTCATTTGGTCTGAAGAATTTTGGTTTATTAATTCATGTGTAATTATCATAATATTCTTGACAAGCTGTAGGCAACTTTTTATTTTGTATTAATAAAAAAAATTCAAACGACAAATAATACTCGAGTAGTAAAAGAAAAAAAAAAGATTTTAATTTTTAAAAATTAAATATGTCCATTTATGGCATTTAATTCGACATCAAGCTGTAATTGTTGTATTAAAATATTAAAAAAAATTAATTATAGCGTTTGAAAAAGTTAAACGCTTTATTTGCTTTTGTAAATATGTTGAAAAAAAATATCAAATAAAGTGTTTGTTCAAAAGAAATGTCTTATTTAAATTTATATCGTTTATCAAATAAGGTATTTGTAAAAAGGAAACACCTTATTTGATATTTTTGTAAAAATTATAAAAAAAATGGATCAAATAAGGCATTTGTTCAAAAGAAACACCTTAATTGATATTTGAAATGCCTTAATTGAGAAACGATGAAACACTTTAATTGATATCAATTAAGACATTTGTTTAAAAAAATCGCCTTATTTGATGTTTTTGTTAAGATTTTGAAAAAAAATATCAAATAAAACGTTTGTTCAAAGAAAATGTCTTAATTGATAATTAATTAAGACGTTTATTCCTTGAAACATCTTAATAGCTACAAATTAAAACTAAATTAAAAATAAGGTAAATTAAAAAAAAAACTAAAACTAAACTAAAATTGAGTTCCAAACTTGCTTTTTAAAAATGCAACGGATATGTGACGTTTTTTTATTTATAAATTTGAAAATAAGACAAATTTTCTTTCGGAATCTTAAAATATTATAAGGAGCTTTTTAAACTATCGAGAGGTGAGTTTTTTATTTCGGGACTTTGGCATTGTTGAGAATATGACATTTTCTCCGGTAATTGGATTACCCTAAACCAAATATGAAAAACAAATACTCACCATCAAAATTCTGGAAGAAAATTTGTAGATTCTTCCAAACCAAACACATGCTAACAAGTTTATGAAAGGTCTTAACTCTCATTGTTTCTTGATGTTTTAACCGGTGGAAATGGAATAGTTCTCTGCTTCTTTCTTTTTCTTTTCTAATTTTATTTCTTTCCAGGAGGAAGAGAATCTTATGTCATAGAAGAGGCTAACAAACAAAAGCATAAGCGATGGGCTATCACATTTCATTATCTCTTCTCATTTGAAAAATTTTGGGATCCATAACCAGCATACCATGGCTCTGTATATTCAACAACAATGACACCAAAAATTTAAAGTCTTTATTGGAGGACTAAGAATTTTCCGCTGAATACCATCAATAACCATTTCTAGAAGACCCAGACAATAACAAAACCTGGGAAGTGATAGTTGGCATAGCAGCTCAGATGCTATGACATTGCCATTTACCATTTCAAACCAGCATCACAATAGAGGCACTGATAGAATTTGTAAGACTTAAGTTCCACATTAAACAACCTTACCAGTGACATCACTCACTGAATTGAAAAAGAAGCAACTTAAAGATCTACATCCCATTAACCAAATCAGAAACTCTCAAGCTACCCAATCCCTTGGCTTCAACTAAGTAGTCTGTCTTCGACCAACTAATATATCGCCATCTCTAGAATTCTGCCGTAAGCCTGAGCATCCCTTATACCTCCATATTATCATTATAGAACGTATAAAGGCATTATTTTCCTATCCGATTCTTGTTCAATCGCATGAAACATTGATGCAGTTCCACCTCAATTCTAATGTATATTATTTTCCTAATTTTCTTGGCTTGAAAAAATGTAACCAGTTCTCCCTATGGCAATTGTTCCTTGGATAGGTAAAAAGATATTACATAATTGTTCCTTTGACATTTTCTACTTTTTTTTTCCCTCAAATCTAACAATTATTCAAATCCACTACAAATATTATGCAAATAAACTAATTGAAAAATTCAGGCATATAGAGGAAAAATCTTACCTTTCTTGACCAGCAGTATCCCAAATCTGCGCTTTAACAGTCTTGTGATCAATGGCAAGAGTTTTAGTCTGGAATTCAACACCAATTGTGGCTTTTGAATCCACATTGAATTGGTTCCTAGCGAAACGAGCCAGGAGCTGAGATTTCCCAACTGCTGAATCCCCAATCAAAACCACTTTGAATACATAATCAATCTTTTGATTGTAATCCCCATACAAGTTTGACATGGTCACCACCCAATTAAAAATTCCCCCTCAGATTGATCCACCGCTCAAAACCAAGAAATAATTTCGATCATAAAACACAGTAATTAAATCATATAAAACTGGTAGTTAAGATTAATCATGTGGATCGGGGGAATAAAAAAGAAATGAAGCTTTGCATGGCATAAATTATAGATCAAAATGAGAAATGTGGAGAGGGGCAAAATAGGAATGATGGTGAGTGGCCAGTGGTCGAGATGAGAATTGGCAATTAGGGTTAGGGTTAGGGTTGGAGGAAGAGGAAGAAGAAGAAGAAGATCGGAGAATCTTGGATTTATCGAAAAGCTTTTTTGTTAAGAGGTGAAGGAGGAAGCCAAACGCCAACGGTCAGTGCGGGACCCATTAACGGTTTTTTTTTTTTGCTACTTTAGAAGAAATCTTCTGGTGTGTTACATGGGCACCGAACTTTAGTGTGACTCATCATATATATATTACAAAATACATAATTAATAGATAAAATTTATTGATATAAATGTTTACGTAAATAATTTTTTTTATATATAAACAATTTTTTAAAAGTATTCTATATAATGACCCATAAGATATTTATTAATTTTAAATTATTTATCAAAAATATATATTTAAAAATGATTGAATTATTTAAAATTTTTAAATTTTAAATAAAAAATCAATTAAAGAATATGAAAAGATAAATATTTTAAATTTAAAAAAAAAGTGAATAATCAAATTCAAGATCAAATCATGTAATAAAAATTTCAAACTTTAAAATCTCAAAAAATATTTTTATCCTAATAATTTTCTTTATAATCTTTTTATTTTTAAAATTCTTTACAATTTGAAATCATAATATCACTTATTATTTTTTAAATTTGAAATATATTTATCAATTTAAAAAATATTTATACACTTTAATTTAAAAATTATTATACATTCTAATTATCATTTAATAAGCCTATAAATATTGATTCATTTATTAGCAACCAAAATTTTTCATTCAAATTTTCAATCAAAGTTTTTTTGAACTATAATAGCAACTTTTTTATCCTTCTTTAGCCTATCTTTTCTTTTATATTATATTTGTATTTCCTCATTAGAGGTTAATCGGCTAGTCAAGTTATCTTTTTATATATTAACTATAATTTATTTTCAAACTCAAGTTCGATTTGTGATCGAATTCGACCTACACAAGTTCGCTGATTAAGTTTGATTAATATGTAAAAATAAGTTTGATTCTAAACTCGACAAAAGTTTAATTATTTATACTCGAGCTCAAACTCAAATTCGAAATATTTTATTAATTAAAATAATAAAAATATATTCAAATATAAAAGCTCGATTAAGTTCGTTAGTTACTCGAACCGAATATAAAAATACTCAAATTCGACTCGATCGATAAGTCGAGCTACTCGAGCTCGAGTTCGACTCAATAATAATCGAACCGAATTCGAGTTTTTTTCAAATCATATTCGAGTAGTTTGTGAATACTAATGTATCATTTACACCGTTAATCACCATTACGTATAATTTTTTTTTGTTAATTGGTAATATTTTTTTATCTATATAATTTTTTTAATTAATTAAGTTTGTGTATTGAATGTTGAATTATTCTCATGACAAATAAAATTAGGCACATCTTTTAATATTTTAAAATTAATATTTAACCACATTATACTTTTTTATCATTAGCTTTAAATTTTATTCAATCAAATAATCATTTTGTTTGCTCTCTTCCAAATCAACTTTAAAAAAAAAAATTCATTACAAATCTATTAAGAACTCATTTAAGGCTGCTCACAATCATCGCAATTTATTTAATTTTATTCACATATATTTAAAATAGTTTTACTTGATAAGTACATGGACCAATTATTATTTCGATAATAATACATTTTTTAAACATCTAGATATCCATTTATATCTATTTATTAAATTTTCATTTTTTGCATTATTTAAAATTTGTTACCTTTTTAAATATCCATCTAAATCCAATTTTTAAACTAATAAGAGCATGTTGAAAATCAAGAGTTTTTTTAAATAACTTTATAAATATCTGTACTTGGTGACAAAAGTATGTTGAAGATCATGAGTTTTTTAAATATTGCATGTGTATAAAAATAATTACATAAGATGAAAATAATGCAAATTAAAAAAAAATTTAGTTTTTATTTTAATATTTTATTGATGTACTTAATAATATTATTTACAATATCTTTTGAATTTTTTCCTCAAATATTATTTATAGTGTGTTTTGAATTTTGTCAAATTTTTAATTAAAGATTTTAATTTTATTATGATTTGATATTTTAATTATATTATATGTATTTTACATATATCTTAAACGTGATTAAATAGTTTTAATTTATATTTTTACATATTTAAATAAATAAAAATAATTTATGCATCACACGGATAATAAATTAATTTTTATTAACATTTATAGAGTAAATACTAAAAAACAGTCTTTAAATTATTTCACTTTTCTTAAATAAATTCTTTTTTTATTTTACCTAAATAAATCATTATTCTTTCATTTATATCAAAATAAGTATTTATTTTAAATAAAAAATTGATTTATATTAAGAGTTTATTTAAATACAAATTAAAATTTAAAAATTCATTCAAATATAAATTAATGTTTAAGAGTTTATTTAAATAAAATGATAAAATTCTAAAGTTTTTTTTTTGTTATTTGAGCCAATATTCTCTTTTACAGATGAACAAATTTTACTTTTTTATGCATAGGGTTAGATTTAATTTTTGAAATTAATGACAAAATGAGAAGATGAAGAAAAAAAAATATATATATATATATATATATATATATATATATATATATATACTATGTGTCCATGTAATTAGATCAATATTAGTATAATTGTTATAAAAATTTCCGTTATAATTATTTTATAAAAAAAAACTGCAACCTAAAAATTAAAAACAAAATAAAATTTAGACCAAATGAAATTAGTCAGATGAGGCAGCTGACTTTTTTTTTCATCAAATTAGTCAGAAAGTGGATGAGGTTGGTTCAAGGGCTAAATAATGCCCTTACCAAAGATGGGATGATGAACAAATAGAAGCTAGCCAGCCACACTTGAAATAAAAATCAAAACTTATAAAAGCTAACCCAAAAAGGACATTTTAAAGTGAGAAACGATAATGAAGAATGCAACACAAGAACCATGTCCTATACAATTTTCTCTTTATTTCTTCAAATGGGAAGCTTTATTAGCTTACAGGATTGGAATCTTGTAATGGGAATGCAGCCAAACATTTTACATCACAAAAAGAAAAAAGAAGAAAAATGTAAAAGCTGCTTTATACTTGGTTCACCACATCAAAAAGAGCAACAATTCATTCAGATCAAAATACTGTTCCCTTCTCTCACATTACTTTCTTTATCTTTTGTACGGTAGCAAAGTGAATCATACGATCTGATTAGGGACTGGTTTCTGAATATTTAAGCACTTGCAGTTTGCACGCTTGTAGCTAAGAGTCTGCAAAACAATATGATTGCGAATGTAAGATGAAAAAACAAAAGTATCAGAAAAAGAAGGTTCCATTTGAAGTTTGGACTGTCATCCAGTACCTTGTACTGTTTTTGGAGGTCCTTGATGTACTCCACAGCCAAATCTAACATGTCTGCTGTGGTTGTTTGCTGCCGCGAAATGAAACCCCAAAACAGTTAGTTTCCAAATATAGAAATTTTGTGTCAAGGAAAAGAAAATCATACCTTGTCCATGTTTGGGACAAGCTCTTGTAGCTTTCTTATCCGTTCACTGATCCGGGTTCTTCTCTCCTGAAGGTAATTTAGCCGTCATAGTCTTCTTTATGAAATTGCCAAACATGAACAAACAACTTATGCTACAAAAATCCCCAAGTTGTATGTGCGGTAAGCATACTTCTATTGTTTTTTTATTTTACAAATGAAGCTGCAGGACAAAGAAGTTCCAGGTGTTGGGATTTGATTCCCAGACTTGCAAAATGTCATTAAGAGTGGTTGCATAAACCGAGTTGTTTCTGGATTCATACTTCTATATTTGTTTGCTTGTGTATGTATATATTAGAATAATTTGATAATTTTTAATTTGGTTTCTTTTCAAATAAATATGGTGAATTTGAAATTATGCTAGATATTTGATCAGTAGGTAGTAAGAGCAGGACTATAACAGCTTTGCGATGTAGGAATTTTTACCCTTTCTGCAATGCTTCGAGGATGAGTGGCACAACCACGCTTAGCTCTAATCTTACAAGGGACGGAATCTTGAAAATGTAGAAACTTCTCCACAGCAATCATCTCATTCGAAGTCTTTGGCAGACTCAAGTGGTGAGATAATACATGAACACGACTTCCATGATCTTCATTCTATTAACAAAGAATCACTAAAAATTTAAAACTGATGCAGCGACAAAGAATTAATAAGAAAGCTATTGTTGATATGCAAATTTATACCTGCTTAGTGGGAAAGAACTTCCGGTCATCATCTTGTGTCCCTTTCAAACCAGAAAAATTCTCTGTGAAGTGTGCAGAATCATTCCAAGAACCATATTGGTATCCAGTGCCATAGAATCCAGCATCATTATTGCTATTTCCAAGCTTGCCATCATCAGCGCCATTAGCCCCAATACTTTGATTGCCAATTTCAGAATTCTGCGACAACATACTCAAGGAAGAAGGTAGTCTTGACGAGAAGCTAATCTGATTCTTCAATCTGTTTGAAGCTGGACTTAATTCTACATTTGTACCCTTCACCCCGTAGTAGTTTCCCAAACCTTTCATGCTGGCATAGCCTGCAATTTACTGAAGACATTTTAAGTAGTTCATACCAGCCTGTAACTTCCTCAGTTCTAAGTTTGTTGGCTTCACATTACAATCAATGGATTCACCATAAAACCTCGAATGTCCAGGTTCCATACTTAGTTGCTGAGAAAATTTAGAAGAAATTTTAAAATTTCAGCACGTATTTAGCATTAATGGAATCTATGTCACCAATTCCATCCATGGTGGAACTAGAAATTTTAGTTAATGAGGCTTAGTTGAAATATACTAAATTAAAAAAAAAAAAAAAACAATAATAACAACATAATAGCACTAAAAATACTAAAAACTTCCATGGCTTCATACTTTGAAATGGTTGTAAATTTTTTTTTTTTTTTAACTTTTAAAATACATCTTTTTTAATGTACACAATTAAACTATTATTCAATTATTGATTTTTCATACAATTAAGCTATTATTCAACTATTGACTTTTCACTTGATTACGCAATCGGATCTTCACAATATTTATTATTAAAAATTATGGAGATCCATATCTAACTTACAAGGTATTATTCGTTTTGATTCAAAAATCTAATAGTTTTATCCTACATCACAGATTTGAGTTTAAATTTTTATATTTATATCATACTATATTCACGCATTCTTCTAATGTGGGATTAGGAGCATCACAATTTTTGAGTTTAAGTTTATATATATATATATATATATTATATCATATTCACACATTATTTCAATATGAGATTAAGAGCATCACAATCTTCCCCTTGAGTCCAACCACAATACCAAGATTACACAAGAAATTGAGATTCTAGAGCACTTAAAGCTTGATATCTTCATCAAGCCAAGTTCAACCACAATACCAAGATCATACCAGACATTGGGATTCTAAAAGTGACTCCCCACCATATAGCACTTAATGACTCTCAATATGGGATTGAGGCGTCACAATCTCCCCTCTTAAAGTTTGAGGTTTTCGATCTTATGATTTTATCCCATAAAAGAAAACTCACAAATTTGAGTTTAAATCTCTCTCTCTTTATTTATATATATATATATATATAATATCATATTCACACATTTTTTTAATATAAAATTAGAAACATTACAATTTCTTCCTTAATTTAATAACAGGATCAAAATCACACCGTACATTGAGATTTTAGAGGTGGGGTTCCCCTTAAGGCTTAACGTCCTCGTCAAGTCAAATTCAACCACAAAACCAAAATCACACTAAGCGTTGGGATTTCATAGGTAGCTTTCTAACGTGTAGACTCTACCTTAAAGTTTGACGTCCTTGTTAAACCAAGCCCAATTACAAGATCAAAATCACACCAGACATTATAATTCTAAAAATGGCTTTCCACCATATAGTACTTAGTGACTCTCATGATATAACATTTAATTTATGTCGATTAGTAATCACTCTGATATTATTTGTGAAGATCCATATCTAACTTACAAGGTATTATTTGCTTTAACCTCAAAATTTTTACGATTTTATTTTACAAAAAATACCTCATAACTTTAAATTTAAATATATATAGATATATATATATATATATATTATATCATATTTCTACATTTTTTCAATAGGAGACCGGAGACTTGACAAAAATACTTTCGCAACGAGGATAGCAACTAGTAAATAAATGCTAACCTCAACGATAAAGATATCGAATCAATAAAAGTTTTTTAAATTTTATCTAAACAATCATAATTCAGATTTTTTTTTTTTTTGGTCTTAGCATGGGCTTGAGCCCCATAAGCCCCATATAGCTCCGCTCTAATCCCACCTACTCTAATGTACATGACCTATAAAATTTTAAATCAATTTTCTAGCAAGATTGAATTATAATTTCTTCTCTTTTGCCTCTGCTTCCTCCATACCAATTAGAAATTCAAAAACAATTTTTAAAGAGGAAAAAAAAAACTCTAAACTTCTAAAATACTAACCAAAAATGTTCCAGACAAAGCATTAAAAACATCAATAAAATAAGCTGATAATAAAAAATGAGAACAAGAACCATACCATTTAGAATAGATAAGTTGGTAATAAGCCCTGGAGGCGAGCTACTTTGCCTCATTAGGCTAGAAGTAACTGGTTTCCCTGGACTGCGGTGATCCATTCCCAGCAACTCATACGAGCTATCCATAGCAGAGGAACTCGAAGCAGAGCTCTGCCTCGGATAATGAGGCGGTAATCCAGAACAACCCTGCCGCGAATTCCCATAGTTAACAGCCCCCTCTGTCCGACTCTCAGATTTATCCTCGATTTTGCTATCGCCGCCGCCGCTTGAATTCATGAATTTGGATATCAAGCTGCCTGAGTCGAAGCCTCCTTTGTTAACCATGCAATCAAGGCCATTGGTGAAATTGGTGAAATTAGTAAGAAGAGAGCTTGGAGCTGAACGAAAACGTAACAACCCTGAATTGGGTTGATTGTTTTGGTTTTGATAGTTTTGATGGGTACTTGAATACATTGAGCCTTCCTCTATTCTTCCCTGTTTTGCCCTGTTTTACTCTGTTTCTTCTGCTGTGTTGCGCTGACTGCTGAGACCTTAAGCTAGAGAACCATTCTATGTAGCTCAAGTTATCGTCCTTTAAAACGAAAAGGAAAACTCTTAAGAGAATTTTAGCATCAATTTCCAGGAAGAAAATTCTCAGCTTAATTTCTAAGCGGAGTGAGATAAGATCTCGAAGAAGAAGCAACTAAAAGAAACACCTTTTTTTTTTTAAATCCTTTAAAACCCAAGCTCCCAAAATAATAAGTCGTCAATGGAGGGAAGAAAAAGAACCCAATATAGAGAAAACGAAAGCGTAAATAATGGAACTTAAAGGTTTTTGAGGATTTCAATCAGATAAAAAAAAAGACGGATTTTTCTTAAAGAAGAGAGTGGGTGAAGAGAAACGAGAGCCTGAGATTTGCTTTTCGCAGCACCAAAAGCGAGAAAGATCTAGTGGGAGAAAAAGAGCCGTGTTGATACTTGATCAGAAGTAGAAAAGCGAAAGAAAGAAAAGACAGGCGGCGATATTTATCTTCTTTGCTTTTGGGACCATCTGGGGTTAATGCAGACAACACAGGGAGAGCCATCACCTAAGTTTAGTTTCGTGTCTTTGCTTGTTTTACGATTATGCCCTTTTCATTTTGCAAATTAATCTCTTTTTTTAAACATTTTTATGAGAAACCATCTTCGTAAAGTTATTAGACTTCACAAAATTAAAAGGATGATGCATAAAGTTTAAAATATATTAAAATAATTTTTAAAAATAAATTGCCTGATAATCTTCTAATTTTATTAAAAATTTATATTGTTAAATATGTTTATAAATTATTCATAAAATATTTTATTTATTTACATCATCAAATATAAAATGATTAAAATATAAAAAAAAAATCTACTACATTTATAATTTAAACTTAACAATCAAATACAAATAAACAAAAAGCGAAGTATTCACAAATTCCTCCCAAGTTTTGTTCGATTACACGTGTAAGTGTTGGAGCGGTGGAACTGAATCCACGGGATGAGGCGGAAATCAGACGAGAATGGAAAACAAACGGTCCACGATGACGCCTTGACGTCACCCTTGACTGGACCAGATTTGTGCAGTATCTGATTCCCCCGCCGCCCATGACATCCTCTAAACAAGCGCCGTCTTTCCAAAATTTCATCTTCCATCATCACCACCCATTTTCTCTTCAATTTACTAACTTGCCATTTTTATATAAATATTTTTGTTCATGTTGCATTTTCCACTTTTTATTTTTCTTTCCATTTTTTAATTATGAGACAGAACCTATCACTTTCAGCTACATGAAAAGTGTAAGAAATAAATTATGCAAAAGGAAAAAAAAAAGGAAGAAAAGGTTTAATTTAGAAATCCAAAGCAAGAGATAACATTGACAAAGATAGTGGAAAAATTAGATAAAAAAAGTAAAGTGAAAAATCGATTTAATTAAAAAAATAGATACTGGAGATTAAATAATTTTTTAATTTTATTATTTTAAAACAAAAACCAAAAGTTAATTTTTCCTGATTTGGCGAAACCAATTGGATGATTGTTGATATTGGTATAAATAGTTCAGGCAATGACATCTAAAAGTGTAAATTTAAAAAAATTTATGTCATCCAGAATTATAAATCAATGGACAAAATTATATTTGTTTGCATAGTAAAAAAATTATTAATAAAATAAGACAAAATCAAACATTTTTATACTAAAAATATTAATGACAGCCATTTCGGATATTATAAAGTAAGGTTATTAATTTTGTTTCAATACCGATCATATTTTAATTATGTCAAAATGACATATTTAAAAAAAAATTTATCAAAGTAAATATTAAATAATATTGATTGTTTTTATTGATTTTGATGAGTTAATTATTTTTATTCAGTACGTAAATATAAAACATATTTTTAAAATTTTTTTTTATTTTTTTTTTACTATTAAGATATAGAGAAACTTGAGTCGTATCTTTTTATTTTTTAGAGTAACTCTTATTTTCTTTCTTATCTATTGGATAAAGAATGATAGAATTTGAACTCTCACATTGTATGCCTTTCTAAGCTTTCTTAACCATTAAGCCTAGAAGCTAAAGACAATAGCTCTTTTCTTTTAATATCTTATTTTTTTCAAACTTAAGATTCATATCTATTTCAGTCTCCTTCAAAAGAGCAACCATACTCCTCTGAGTTTTAAGAATGCTAAAGCAAAGGTTAATATGTCTTTCTAAGCTTTCTTAACCATTAAACCTAGAAGCTAAAGACAATAGCTCTTTTGTTTTAGTACTTTATTTTTTTCAAACTTAAGATTCATATCTATTTCAGTCCCCTTCAAAAGAGCAACCATACTCCTCTAAGCAAAGGTTAATATTTTTTTATGTCTTTGTTTTTATCTTAAAATATTTTTACATAAGAATACTCATTTAAAAATATTATGACAAATTAATGATATTATTTTTTATAATTTTAAACTTATTTATTTGATATTTGAAGATATTACATATTAATTTTGCATATTATTAGTAATATTATTATATAAAAGTTCATATATATTTATAAATATTTTTATACTAAATCAAAAAATTTGAAATAATATGTCTAAATAACTAATACTAACATATATCATTTTTTTCAAAAAATTGAAACGTTGCCTGTTATTATATTTATAACCTTGGTATAGAGAGTAGATAGGTCTTAATCTTCTTTTATAGTTGCATGATTGTTTTTGGCTAAAATTTGAGGGTCAAAGATACCAATGTTGCAAATTTTCTCTCAAAGAAATACAAATATTTCCCATAGGGGAAAAAATCTAAAAGATAATTACTTGTGAAATTTAAAAAAAAATTTATAAAGTGTTTGGGCTAAGTTGTCTTAGAAGGCTAAAACCTTGCAAATACAGGAGGGAGAAAAGATATTGGTTAACAACAAAAACTAAGCATGATTTTAACATTTATGCTATGACGTTCAAGTTAAAAATTGATTTAAGTGAAAAACATTAAAATAATTTTTCATGCAAAGAATTATTAAATCACCTCATTTTGCAGGTTTTGTGGGTATATGTGTATTTATGTGATTACATTATTTAATTGTATATCTCTTGAATTTTTTTTATTTTTCTAAAAAGTAAAGTTATAAAGGAAATTGCAACATAAGTTCTTTCACTTTTATTTTAAATTTATTATGATTATACAAACGAAAAAATAACAAATTAACACACACACACACACACACACATATATATATATATATATATATATATATAAATCAAAGATAGGAACAAGAAAAGAGTAAAAATATAAAAAAAGTGACAATTCATTTGTTGAAAATATGATTAAGTAAATAACTTAATCGAAGAAAAATAATGTTAAGTTATTAAAATAACTTAAGGTTTTGTTCTTAAAATCAATAATATGATTCTAAACTTGAAAGAATCTTATTGAAAAGGCTTTATATGAAAGTAGTGACTGTTATTCTTGGAGGAGTCGACTACTTTAGGAATCTAGGGAGAGTAGTCGACTATCAAGGCAGTGGCGGATTTTAACATATAGACTTGAGAGGGCCAATTAATAATATATTATATTTTTTTATTAGAATTATATATATATATATATGCACACACACATAATACACAAATATATTAATAATAAGTAATCAATTTATAAAATTATAACATAAAAATATTAGTATGATAGCATTAAACTTTTAAGGATAAATTAATAGTAGAATTACTAATTACACTTATCTTTCAATGAATTATTAGAATTTTGTATTTTATATAAATTTAAAATTGAAATAAAAGAATATAAATAAATCAATCATTAAAAAATATTTTTTTTATCAAAACAAAAAAATAAACATAATTTTAGAAGAACAAAGTTAAAACTTTAAGACTAGAAGTTATGATTTTTTTAACCTTCTATAAAGCGGTTCCAATCTTTTTTTTTTTTGAAAAAATATTTTAAGATAGCATGAGATAAAGATCTAAAGTAAAATTAAAAATTAAAATTAAAATGTAAAGAGATGTTGTAATAAGCTAGAAAGAAAAGGAAAACACAAATTTAGTACTTAGTTGAAGATTTGAAGTTTTGCTGAGAAAGCTAAAAAGTTGATTTGATTTTTGTTAAATTTATATGATTGTGATTTAAAACTTATTACAAATCTATATCTTGATTTTAAACGATTTATGAATACAATAAATAGACATATAACAATGTAATTTTAATTCTTTTAAAATTGCAATAATGCATAAAATTGAAATTAAAAATTATAAAAAAAAATAATTTTAATTTAAAGAGTCACATTAAATTTATTTATTATTAATAGATACATGCTAAAGATTTTTAAAAACTTTAAGAGGGTCAAGGCCTCTTCTAGCTACAATGAGGAATCACCCATGTGTCAAGAGGTATGGAATCAACAACTTTGACAAATAAAAGCTAAACTTAGATTACGTATAAATAGCAGTTTACTGCTAGTTAAGTAACCAACTGCTATAGTTGGACAATGAGAATAATCGATTTCAAACCCTAATGAAATTGATTGCTATTGATTAATTGTCTTCTAATAATTGATCTATGTTATAGCAATCAGCTGTTATAGAAGAGGAATCGACTGCTTTATAGGAAATCGAATATGGAACATGTTTGAAAATTGAAAGGAGTGGACTACCATATGAAGTAGTTAGCTGCTCAAGTGTTGAATGTATTATGCAAGATGAAAATGAGTCGATTGCTTTATAGAAAAGTTAACTGATCTGTTACAGAAAGTATTCTAAAAATTAGAATTCAAAGAGGCAATCGATGACCTTCTTGGAGCAGTTGGCCATTTTGCATAAAAAGTTAAAATTTCTAGATACATGAAAAATTATTTTTCTTTGTACAAAAGTTTGACTATTCAAATAAATAAATATGTATATAATCTTTCAAAGAGATATTTATAATAAAAAAAAGTAATCTTTGATTAAAATAATATAATTAAAAAGTTACAATTTAAGATTTAATCTATAAATAGAGACTGTGAATGGTAATCTAATAGTTTAAGAAGTTGAATGGAATTGATATTTTAGAAACTCTATTTCTTCTCTCTTATTCTTGCCAATAAGTGGTTAGTTATTTTAATATAATTTCTGCAGAAATTAATGTTCAAACTTAGATGTTATTGTTTTCATTTAGAGATGTTTAATAGTTTTGATATTACAAGTGACAATTGACATCAAATAAGGTTTCATTGTATCTTGAAGGCATTTTGATTATATTTCTTTCACATGCCATAATTGATTGGGACGAAATAAGATTTAAGGAAAGTGACATTTGTAGTACGTCTTGAAATCATTTTTTTGTTGTTTGATGGTGCGTGAATTTCATAATTTTGAAGAATTTCGGAATGCTAGCATTTTGAAACACATCAATTAAAAATAATAGAATTTGTAATTGCATTGTTTGAATAATTATTTTATAGAAATAAAATTTAAATATTGAAATTTGATAAGATAAAAAATAATTATAATAGATAAATAATGATATTAGATATAGAAAAGGCAAAATATTAAAACAAATATGTAACATGGGTGTCATTAGATTTGTAAAAATTTGTAG